TCTTAATTATTTTAATATATTTCTTGCCGGGGGCGACTGCTGCAACCTCCTTTTTATACAAGGGACAATCAAAGGGCCATAGCCCAGGAGAACATAAAACCCTCACTTGATACAACACTGTGGAACAACTCAATCTGCCTCCCATCCTGACTCACCTCTGGCTTGCTACTCCGACGGCTGTGCCCCAGCGCTTCGCTTCCGCTGACTGCATCTTGTCAAAGCCGTACGTGGAGGCAAATAAGTGTCGCATCTAACTGAAAGCAAGCGGCCGGGACTGGGGGCGAGCTGCGCACACTATTACATGGTCCTGAGGTGGTAGGAGGGAAGTGTACCACTTCAAACTGCAGGTGAGTATTGAAGCATTTTATGCTCCTTTGATTCAAAGCACGAATCTCCCTGCAAACACAGTAGCAGTGCAATGGAGAAAAATGGTGACCCAGGGTTCTCTCCATTGTGCTACATTTCTACTTGCAGAGACTTTTTTCAATCTTTAGGAAGGATTCAATAAGCAAACCTACATCTGCAATCTGGTCTATCTCCTTCTGCCTCATTCTGTTGTCAGATGTACAGCAGGCAAGACCATCAGTGAAAACGTCTAAGAGCAACACATACCATCTCCTCCCCCGGAGCTATTCTTTACGTTGTGTAGACTGAGGTGGCAGAATTCTAAAATGTGCCACTTCAGATGGTAGGCGAGACACGTCTTATTTAGGGTGGGAGGAGACCCTACATACAATTTTTAAGGAAATTCTAACGCTACCTTGGCACTCTACAAATTTCAGCAAGCGTAGCTCTTAGGAGAGAGAGAACTTCCCTGCATAGAGCATGGAGTGTTTTTATTGTGATTAAATGATAGACCAGCATGTAATTACTTTTAAACGCACACATTCCAGCCTCTCAGAGAGACAATGTAGTTATTCTGCTGATTTTACCACATGCAAGACTTAACATTTTTTCTTTTAACATAGAACATTTAACCCCTCCAACAACTCTCACCTGCAGCCTAAAGTTGCACAATTTATAATTCTACTAATTCATCCTGTATAATATCTGCTCTTGTCTCCCCAAAATTCAACTCCCCAGGAGATAGCAATGCCTTCTTTGTAGAAAGGACCAGCCCATTCATTTCTTCCATACTTCCCAGATTCGATGGCAGCAGCAGCAGCTTGGAAATAAGCAGCTGGAATAAGCTGGTTTAGTTTCCTCTAACCTGGCCCTCTAGATGCGTTGAATTACATACACGTCCCACCATCAGCAGCCATCAAGTGAGTGAGTGGAGTGATGGGACTTGTAGTCGAACACATCTGGAGGGCCCTGGCTTGGAAAAACCTGCCTTAAATACATTCTTTTGAGTAGCTGAATACTGACATGGGAGGTCAAATAGTGCTAGATGCATCCATAAGCAAATGAAATATAATACCAGAGGTTATCACCAAAACAGCATCACGAAGGAGCCTTGCAGTCTGTAGCCATCTGCACAAACATTTCTGAAAATTTAATCTCCGATGACTTTCATCTACAGGCTTCAGAGATGCAGCAAAACTGCCCCACCCCTCCGCCGATGCTTGCCAGCCTCCCTGAGTGGCTGCATTTTTTAAAGTATCTATTTATAGCCCACTTCAAATGTCCTCTCCAGTGCAAGTTACTGTAAGGGAGTGCTTTACTGAGTAAAGGAGGGGGATGCTGCCATTGCGAGCCATTTTTGACGGGGAAACAATAATACTCTTCCCACTGGATCTTCTGTTGAAATACCACCATCACCTGCTCTTTATATTCAGCCAAGGTGTGTGATTTCCAAGACACTAAATGCAGAGATGTGTAGATTTTTGAAAAATTCAAGTATTATACTTGAATTTTTATTATTATATTGTCACCCCTCTCCAAGAACTGCTTGGAGAGGGGTGACAATAATCTAGATTCCAGTGGACATGAAGGCAGTTCTGAGGCTAATCTCTCCCCTGGTGCTGTATTTGCTTCCCCCAACACACTAAAAAACCTCTACGCATATACTAAACTTCAGAGGAAGGATTTTTGTAAAGACCCAGATAGTAAGGAATGAGTTAATTACCCTCCACCACCCCTTACCTCAATCTGGATAGTTATGTACAGGTCTTGCCCCCCGCAACCAGATAGACTGTTTGGCTCATGAAGCTTCTGAAGGCAAACACTTGTGAGATTACATTGAAAAGTTGCTGGGGTGGGCATGACATGCTGCCTCTGAAAACAGTCCTGCATGTTTTCTAAACTTAAAATGCATCACAGAGCTCATAATAGTGAGCCTGAAAGAAAAAAAAAAAACAATGAAAAATGCATAGCAAGCTAAACCTACAAATACTTGGACAGACATTGGGTTCATCCACTGTGATCTTGTACAGACCCCGTGCATTTCAAAGGTGGATTGCTCAGGTCAAACTCTTGTTGGATTGTGTCTCTATTAAAAAAAAACCTGCTTCCCCGAAACAGATGAAGATGACTGAAGACAGGGTCATTGGGGTGTTGATGTGCAATACTTCTCCATAAGCAAACAAAGAGCTTTCAAGCATTTGGGTTGCTTTCAACCAAATACTTCAGGCTGCAGTCTCAAGCCTCAGATCAGGATATTTCATCCCAAAGAAAGATGGTCAGGGCGAGACCCTTGGTTATCTGAGTCGGGAAAACAAATAGCATTTTTCTGAGAAGCGAGTGTGACTCATGCCACCATCATCGTAATTGGCCTTTTTGGGCAGTGCTTCAGGACCTGGGAAAACCTGTTGGCTCTGCTGAACAAAAAGCGAGTACACCATGGGAAGTGGGGCGGGGAGAAGCGGTTCCTGATTTTCCACTGTAAACTCTTCTGCGCTGCCTGGATCCGTCCAAGGGCCCATCGTGCTCCTTGCCGCTTGGACACAAGCGCCGCACCTCCAGCCGGGCGGACATTCTGCTGCTGTGGCCGTATGGCAACCTGCCACTAAGTTACTGCATAGTGCGGACAGGGCCTTGGCAAACACCGAATTCCACTATGGGCCCAAGCAGAAAGAATGCAGCACCCTCCCAGGGCCGTCGCCCTGTCTGCCTGGTTTATCCTCCCACTGGCAGCAATTCTGAAAACTGGAAACATACAGCTTTCTTCAATGATAAGTTTGCATTCTTAAGAATGCAAGAAAAGTACCCCACACCTGAATGTTAATGTCAGTTACTGCCACACCACAAAGTTGTGTTTGCATTCTTCTAGTCGCATTAGGAATCAAACTGCAAGAGGCAGCCAGACAAAGGGCTTCCTTTAGTGCTTCTTTTGGCATATTCACCACCTCTACAGGTACATCAACAAGTTCTATTTATTTATTCATTAGATTTATATACCACCTTTTTCCTTACAAAGAACTCAAAGCGGCTTACACAATTCTGTTCTCCCTGCTCTCCGTCTTAGCCACACAATAGCAATCCTGGGTGAGTAAGGACTAGAACCCAGATAACCTGAGTTCCAGTCCTGTTCTCTCCCCCGCCACCCCGCTCTTAGTTACAACGCTATGGGGATGGGTTCCTTTTCACCAAACAAAGGGCAACCTGTCTTGCATAGCCCCACCCACGTCTACGGACTATTCTGTGCAAGACTATTGTTTACAGGAAAGCAGCAAAAAACGGGTTGGAAGAAGGACAGCACTGGAAAAATGCTCCAGCTCTCCAGGGTCGAATCCTGCAAAGGCAGAGATGTTAGTAAGACACAGCAGGAGTGCCGCTGCAGTGTGATGGCTTTATGGTCCACTGCAGTAAAGCAAGGGGAAGAAAAAGCCTGCAAGAAGAACAAAATATCAGAGTTAAGCCTCAAGTCATTTCAGGAATCTTCGCCTCTCCTTCAAATGATTAAACAAAGACCAAGAAGGCATTGCAACCGCCTATAATGATGGTGAAAGCTTCTATTCTGGTTAACAAAATCCGACTGTTCTCCTACAGCATCAAGTTTACCGAACAAGTCATTTGAGTCCTTAATATGACAGAGCAATGACATGCGCCACATGCGCTCGCTCGCTCTCTCTCACACACACACACATAGAGGAATTTAATCAACTGAAATATTGCTAATGGCAAGCAAATAAGCAAAGTCTTTAGCATTATATATGCCCCCTATTCAAAGTGGGTTTATATTTAAATACAAGCAATCTCACTACTTCAAAACTTTCCATCCACATTTACTTCCAGATTCAATTTTTTAACTTTATAAAAAATATTCCCATTACCTCAATTTTCAAATCTCTGTACCTCTGTATACTTTAACCAGGTACTGTAATGACAGAATCCCTATGTAGCCCATAGCACACCCTGAAGACGGACTTAATCTTCTGTTATTCTAACGCCTTGTATATTCTGTAGTCTTCAGAAGGAGCAGATTCCAGTACCAGTCAGTGGACATGAATGAATTCTGGAGGGTGTTGTTTCTACCCATCCAGCACAAGGTATCCCACGCCACTCAGCACTTCTTAAAGGAATATTCAACCGTGCACAATAAAATATCCACAGGACAAGTTAAAAAATAACTTAAAAAAAAACAGAACAAACTACTGTTCAAAATTATTCAGAGTTGACAAACCAGCACTGTTTTAGATCTTGCCACGATTTGTGTACAAAATATATAATGAGATAGCAATTGTAGAATTATTAGGAAGCTAAATAATTTTAATTGTGAATGTCTAATATCTTCCATGTTTCCCATTCTTGTATGTAGATTACCCCTCCCTCAGTCATGGCTGTTCCACCTTTTAAGTTGTAAACAATAAGATTATGCTCACACATCAAATCTTTAAAAAAATCAAAGTGGAGGGGGGGAAGAGACATTGCAATTTAAAATAAAAATGAGGTTGCTTCAAACATATCAACTAAGTTATGTGCCAAATATGTATAACGAAGGCGATAGGAGACAGGGACAGATGTAAGGAGAAAGATTTCTGTTAGAACAAAAATACACTAACAAATACACTATAAATCCACTATTTCATGCAAGCGCTTTACGATCAAACCCGACATACTTAGGAGACCGGAGACATCGTTGCAAGACCCACTGGAAATCCACCAATAGCAATGCTAAGAGGGACTATTCCTGCTGCGTAAGAACCAGGAGAATCCCCTCCTGCTCAAGTATTGCACTTTTCCAAAAAGCCAGCAAATCTCTTGGATCTGTTATGCACCTGCAATGCGGACGACAACCCTACAATCCAGTCCTCAGAGCTGCCAGAACCCTCCGTACTTGTTCCTTAGGTTATCTTTTCAAGCACATCACTAAGGCTTTAACAATGCACATCAATATACCTCACATTTTCCAGCCAGTGGCGGCTTCGGGTGATTAACAAAAACCAAAGACCCACCCACCTCAATGTCCCAGGGTTGGCTTAAGCTGAGGAAATTCACAGCCCACAGCCAGCCAGCCATCTAGCTAGCTGGGAGAAACTCCATTTCCAGGAAGAAGCTTGGCTCGTCTTGCTACCATTGCCACGAGTGATAAGAAAAGCAGCTGGGCTTGCGCCGAGATTGAAGCCCTCCTCCCCACACACACCACAGCCCTCCCATGCTTCCTCTCCACTTGTCCACGATATGTGACGATACAACTGGAGATGGTGACGGCGATAAGGTGACCTCTTCCCTTCCCACCCTGCTCAGACGCAGCCCTGCCCCTCAGAATCTTTCCTCTCCATAAGCTGAAAGGGAAACAAAATCCAGTGCCAATTCTCCCACAAAACCCAGCAGCAATAGGGTACAGTAGTCATCTGTTCCAGACATAATACAACCCTGGAACCAGAGCTTGCGGATGGGGAACAGAGCTTCCAACTTGGATTAAATTATACTGAGTTAAAACGATGCTGCCACTTCTGCAGGTGGGGGTCCATCATTCTGAGAAAAACTGGCAGCAGTGTGTCATCCGCTCCCTTTCTTTATCTCCAGTGCCCCAGATGAGCTCCCGAAGGGATCAGACACTCACACACCACAGCAGAGAAGGGAATGGGCTATTGCAGGGACAACTGGCAGGGAAAGAAACAGCTCATTTCAATCCTGGTCAGAAAGAGCTTAAGCAAGCCCTTCACTCTCAGGAGGAATCCAAGCTGGGAGGAAAGGAGGCAAGTGGCAGCCAATAACCTTGAAGTGTGCAAGGCACCGACCACATAGGCTCCATCCAGTCCTCTCCCAGTCTGGTCTGGGCAGAGGCAGAGGCTCTGCTAATGACAGAAAGACCTGTTTGGGGCTTGTCTCCCCTCTTCTTGGAAACACGAGTGCCCTGCTTTCCCCTATCTAATGGGGGAAGAGGGTGCCTCGTACCTGCAAGATAACGCCACTTCTTTGGTACAAGGGGGCAGCCCTATTCCCCTTTCATCTGCAGAGAGAGAATACTTAACCCCTCCCACCTCCCTCCCTTTAAATTCACACATCAGTATCTTATTGAAAGGAGACTGTCTTTTCCCTAACCTTTCACATGTCCTGTTTGGCGAAGGCACGCACTCCCACCTGTCCCATGCAAACTTGTAGGGAAGCACAAATGAACACTAATTCCGCATATGGTGGGAGAACTCCTGGGAATTTGCCCTGCCCCAATTCTATAGGAGCATCAGCTTTAATTTTCTCCTTCCTTCCAGGAAGGAAATGTTTAGACATTTCTCCTTCTCAGGCAACATGGGATGCCCTTACCTCATTTATAAACAGCATTATTATTAATATTGAGCCATCGCTGTACAGGATACTTTAAAGAGGATATAAAGAGGCCAGCTCTCTCTCTAGAAAAGTTTGCCTGAAGTTGGGGTGGGTGCTGGAACAGCAGTGTAAAGAGAATGGGGCTGAGACAAGGATTATGGGGATGAAAAGGCACGGCAGAACCTCCACCTGTCCTGTGCCAGGGGCTGCCTTACCTGTAAATATGAGATGTTTTGATCTTCCACTGTACCTGCTTGAGAAGCCCATTCTCACAGACCTAAGGGAGATGTTCCTCATCCTTGAGGCACATCCTACATAAAGCCATGTTGCTCTTACAGTCAGGAGACTGATCTGCCTGATCTGTTGAAGGAGACGCCAAAGATCAAAAGTAATGCCAGTCCCAGACCAGACCTTCAGAAATAGGGTTCTGATGCTCTGGAATGGGTACCTCTGCCCCGTCTAAATAGGAAGGCAGGCTTCTCATCTATACCGCAGAGGATCTTGTAAATATGCCAACACATTTGGTCTTTGTCTCTCTTCAAAATCCCTCTTGGAAGAGAACCCACTTCTCACTCCTATGAACTTTCCATTGGAGGAAGTAGGGAGCAACAGGCAAAGTCAAGAAAGGTCCATTTTAGAACCATTTAGGGTTGTTGAGCACAGGGCTCTTTCCAAAAACTGCATTTCTCCCTTGGGGAGGTTGCTGATGTGTACATCCTCATTTGTATGGCAGGCCACCCTCTCAAAATTGCCCGAAGGTGCAAGAAAAGCAGCCAATATCTCTACTGTCTCTGAGGGAGCGTACGGTTCCGAAACATTTTGGGCTGCCTCCCGTTCTTGTCATTAGCACCTCTGAAAGCTAGTTTCCCCCTTCTTGCTTATTCCAGAGGGAGCAAAAGTCCAAAGTGGTTGAAATCCTTTCTCCCAGATATTTTTCCAGAGGAATACCCAGTGCCCAATTATACTGAGGAAAAACTGATCTGCCTAAGCCCCTCTCCACATCTCTGAGAAAGCTGCCCAGACATATGAGAACTATACCCCCTATTGCCCCCCAGATTGGGAGTTATGAGTTGCTGGGTACAAGGAAGGCCCCGCACCTTCTGGAGGAATACTCGCTCACCCGTCACACTGGGGGAGAAGTGGCCTGCCCGGCTGGCCATCTCCCACCTCCAGCAGGGCAGGGGATCTTCTCCCCTAGGGCTGGCAAGCTCATGCCCCATGTTTTGCGGGGCGAGGGGAGCCGGCTGGAGAGCGTGGCGGGGTCCGCACTCTCACGCCCCCCAAGGGAAGCGCGAAGCACCCCGGCTCACCGGAGGGGGCACCCCTGCCCGCCCGGGGGGCTGCTCTCCTGGGATCGGCGGGGGGCAGGAGCTGTACCTTGGAGCAGGGCGGAAGGGAGGCTGCTCGCTCCGTGGGGGTCGCCCCCCACATCCGAAGGGGGCTCCCTGTCGAGCCCCTCCTCCTCCTCCTCCTCCTCAACCGCCGCTGCCTCGATCGCCTCCCGTCAAGCGGGGCGGGGGAGACGGGGCGCCGCGGGCTGCGATGCGGCCGCCCCCGCCGGCACCCCCGCGCCGCCCCCCGCCGTCTGGCGCGGCGCACGCCGGGAAGAACGCGAGGGGGCGCAGGGCTGCTCCTACTCACCCGCCGCCGCCGCGCCGCCGCCGCTCCCCCCGCCCCGCGCCAGTCCTGATGGGGGGGCGGGAGGCTGGGGGGCAGCGCTGCTCCCCGGTGGGAGCGAGGAGGATGGAAGGCGGGAGGGGGGAGAGGAGGGGGCCGGGCGGGGTGACGTAAAGGGCAAAGGAACCACGCAGGCGCGGAGGCGCAGGTGCAGCCGCGGCAAAACAGCAGCGGCGTTGCCACGGCAACGAGACGGGCGCTTCCCCCGTGCCTGCCCCGAAGCTCCGCCCACCTCGCCGCGCCAAGGCGGCCGGAAGAGGAAAGGGGAGGAGCCTGCGCGGCGTTCCGGAGCCTCGGGGGTGAGCGGAGCCCCTCCTCGCCGGGGCGGGGGGGGGTGATTATAGTGCTTGTCCACCGCTATTTAGTAATATATTCATCATTATTTGTATTACCTCGCCTTTTTCCTTTTAGTGAGGAGCCCAACGTGGCTGGCACGTTCCTCCTCTTCATTTCATCCTCACAACAACCCTGTGAGGTAGGTGAGGCCCAAAGTCACCCCGTGAGTTTCATGGCTGTGTGGGGACTAAAACCCGGATCTCTTGGGTCCCAGTCCAGCACTTTAGCTACCACATCACACTGTCTCTCACGATAATTATTCCTATCAAATTAGATGTATTTATTTATTATATTGTGATGCTGTTATTCATATGCAAGTTAATGTCAGTGAATGAGAAGCCCGCTTCAATGGGACTTCGGTATGGCTATAATTAAGACATTATAACTGTTACGTATAGTAATGCCAAACCCCTCCTGAAAACAAGTTCCGTTACCCAGGCCTTTTTTGGCTTGTAATTCATTAGAGTTATTCACATGCCACTCCATCTAACTGCTCCTTGGTTTTTTTTTTTTTTTAATTCTAATTGTTTTTCAAATGGGATTTTAAATACATATATTTGAACCACTTAGAAATTTTATTAAGTGGTTTGTAAGTTTAGTAGTAGATAAATCCCACTGCGTTCAGAGGGACTTTCTGCTAGGTAAACAGGTGGAACAGTGTAGGTAGGGAATAAGAGTGCATTTACTTGGGAATAAGTGACTGAATTTAATGGAACTGACTGCTGAGTAGAAACAGACGTGATTTCAATGTTAGCAAAATATTAAAGCGGGGACATGATAGGGAAGCTGTAAATGAGAAAAGAAGACATATCTTCTGGATATTCACATGGTAGGCATGTCATGATTGGAGCTGGCTGGAACTGGGGGTCAGACTAGATGGCCTAGGAGACCCTTTCTGACTCGCTCTGTTTCTATGTTGCTATCTTCCAGGATGTTCCAGCTAAATAGAAATCTTGCCAGATTTCCACAGAAAGTCAGCTAAAATAAGATGGAAACCCATTTTCCAAGGAATTACCTGAAGAGAAAGGATTAGAAGCTATCTTCATTCTGATGAAATTTTAGCCATTGCTAAAATTTCCTAATCTGTCGAACCACCGATAATAGGGGGAGACTGCTTGTTCTTTCAATATAATTCTAGCTGGAGTTTAGCAGCTGTTAAGAGGAGCATGGAATCATGTTCCTTTCTGATTTGTGGAATTTATTGTGTCTTTAGATTGTCTTGGACTTAGGGCAATCCTATTAATGAACGCCCTCCAAAATGTTCTGTCCTCAACAGCCCCACTCTTATAAACTGAAGGTTTTGGCTTCTTTGGTGGAATCTATCTATCCTGTTGTTTTCTAGAAAAGAGAAACAGAAACTGTAGCCTTGAAATAAAGCTGTCTGAAGGAAATTTTTTCAAGGCTTTTGATAGCTCTAGTTAACTCATTCTGACTGGTAGGATTTGAAGTTGGTGTTGTATATGGAAGTATTAATACCAAGGGACTGTCACATGATCAGATTTAGGTTTTATCTCCTGTTTGGAAAGCAAACAGCCTTCGTTACACTTTCAAAATCTGATTATGTTTTGACTATTTGTAACTGTAAACAAATTAGCTGTAGTTCCAGAAGGAGAAAGGGCATTGAAAACCTGTTCAAGATGTTGGA